TGACCTTACTTTGAGTTTGCCTTTGGGCATGCGCTGTTGCTTCCTGTTACATGGATTTGCCACAAAAGCCACTATATTCCTCATTATCTGTTTATGCACTGTTACAGCTACATCCTGTGTGTCTACTTTTGCATTCTTTTATCTACTTTGCTAGTTAGTCTTTAAGCTCTATTTAGCAGCATCGAGGGGAACTGAAAATTTCAATTCTCTATGTTGTCTGTCATTACAATGAAATCAGTTTCTGGTGAAAAACATCTGCACAGGACCAAAAGGTTGGAGTGTGCACCTGTTTGATGTACATGTTAGAAGTGGTTTTAAAAGCTAGTTTTGAAGAGGATATTGAGCTGCTATTTTCAGCATGAAAACTGATGTTTTAATTGAAATCAATGACAACACTGTTGGTGTCTGTGTCTTGAATATGTACCTGTTTCTGCCTCCATCTGGGGAGTAGGTTGGTGTTAATTTTGTGTTGGAACAGAGTGCACGCAGTATGTGTGTTTTGTAATAGCTGACACAGCTGGCCCATGCTGTCTAAAGCCCTGAAATGCATGTGGTTGGAGAGGTGCTATCAGCTCACTGCAGCACACAGGAGGGAGTGTCTGGTTGCAGCCCAGATGGCATTATTAGGATTTAGAGTTAATACGTCGTGTTTGACAGGTGCCACATTTGGAGTCCCAACTATGAACCATTTGATTTACTCAATTGCACTGCTTAGGTAGCATGGTTTATTGTCATTTTTTAAGCCTAGCCATATATAACATGGAAGTTACTTTGATATTTGGTGTTTCCATCCACCATTCTACCCTCTACACATCCTAAACCTTGGCTGCATTTCAGAAAATAAAGTACTCCTCTGTTCTGGTGTTTTCAGGATATTTTAGGGCTTTTTGTGAATATAGAGAAACAGCAATAAATATTGTTCTTTCTTTTTTTCTTAACAAGTAGATATCAGTTTGTAAGATGATTATCACATTTTTAAAGTACACAGGCAAAGAGCAAGATCACTAAAATTAGAGCTGAATGATATCAGATACACATCATTATATTTAATTATTAATTGTATTTAATCCTACCAAGTAGTTAAGTGAAACTACTGTTTACATTACTAGAAGCTGTTTTGCTTAACTTCTCTTGGTATTGTGCAAACTTAAAGGATCATTCCAACACAAACCATTCTATGATTCTATTCTGGAAATGCTACTTAATTATTCAAAGTGTGGTATAGAGTGTGTGGCCCATCTTTTCAGCAAATGACAAGTGGAGGGCTAGTTCTACAGAGAAGTGCAGTTAGTAATGGAGAAGGGACAAAAGATTGTAGAAAACCATCTCAAAGGTTAATGACATCAATAGAGCAACTTAAAACTTCACTGAAATAAAGAGATCATAGTATAGAGTAATTAGAAGATAGCACATGAACAGGATACATGAGTAATCAGCACCAAAAAATAATGTTCTCTTGCAAATAATTGTGGTCATGTACTTTTGCTCCAGCACTGGGATACTTGTAGTGGTAACTCACGAGTCTGACCTCAGTGAAACAGCTTTCCAGGGGCAGGTACCCCCTGCCTCTCCGTGCTGCCTGTGCACCCAGGCAAGCCACCCTGTCTGCTCTCTTCCAGCAAGACCTTTCTGTTACTCCAGAGCTAGTTCAAGTATTTCTGTGTACTTGTAGCCCAGGGTTGTGTAGTTTTAGTCCTGTGTGCCAACAGCACACAGATCAATAGTCAAAAACAGATTGATTGTGCTTTCTGCTGCTCCTTCAGAGGGATCTTCTTCACCCATCCAATATATCACAGTAGATATTTTTGTATTTTGGTGTCATTACAGGTTCTGCTCCCTTTGCATTCTTTTAGGGACAGCAGGTAAGACATGGATGAAAGGAAGCAAGGGGAGGGGATATGTGGAGGGATAGTTTGATGTACAGTAGACCCAGTTCTTGCTGAGATCAATACTCTGATTTACTTAATTGGAAACTGAAGGCTCTATTTTTAACATAGAGTAAGAAACTCTGGAAACCTGCCAGAGCAGGCAGCATGCTTCCAATTAAGTGTAGGCCAGGCCACCCACAAAGCCATACTTTCTCTCTCTCCCACATTGATTCTTGGCCCTCCTTAAGTAGCAGATTTTACATAAACTACTATTTTTCGTATTCCAGAGGCTGAAAAACTGAAGCCTGTAGCTGACCTGTGATAAGCTGTACCTTAGGGAAAGGGCAGGTGCACGGTTAGAGCCCAGCCCTCCACATACAAGGCTGGTGGATAATTTGGTAAATCATAGTCAGTCTCAGACTGTTCATTTTAATGCAACTGATACTAATTGTGGCAGAAGCAAGTCGAAAATTTCAGATACTTGGGATTTTATTTTTTTTATTATTTTATGATGAGAATTTTAGTGTAACTGTCTGGCTTTGTACTTGCACAGAAGTCTTTCCAAATGCAAATTGAAGACTGCCCTCAGGTAGGGTTGCAGTTTACCATTTGGAAACAGCCTACTGTTGGAGGCATGAACTTCCACACCCTCCAGTGGTAGAAATGGAAAGGCTGCTGCATTAGATGGGTTTGGTGGTATTGTTGTCTTCTGCAATCAGCAAAATTAAGTCTTTTTCTCTATACAGAGACAATCACATGCTATCCTGATTTCTTTGGCTCAGTGGTATGACTGTAACTGAATTACTGTTTTTTCTGCTACCCTTCTTGCAAACTAAGGATGGGAAGGGCAGAAACACTGAATGTGGCAGCACAGTGCTGAGTAGATAATATCTACACCTAATCCTTCTTGTCATTAGGTTAATATCCAGACTCTGTAATAAAGCTTTTGTCATTAGATATATGTCCAGATGGTAGAATTAAGATATCTTTAATGAAATGCCTTATTCAAAAACATAGTGTGGCTGTTTCTTTGGGAGACACCCCTCCTATTTTCCCTGTAGCAGTAGTCCAGCAGTCAGTCCCAAGTGATAAAACAGGCATGGAAGGAAGCATTCTGTTGTTGAGCTGTGCTGTTCAGTCATTCTTCATCACTGAGGAAAACTAACAGGCTGGTGCAAAGTGTAATAAAGAACATAAACCTTTATCAGCATAATCTAGGGGATTTTTATGAAAAGCCAAAACAGAAACGAAGGTGAAGAGGTTCTGGTTGATTGCTGTATAGAGGTTTTTACTGAAATGATCCCACAGGTGAAAATTTGTAATCTGAAATATCTTACATGTGCTGTATCTATACCACCACTGTTGTGAAAACCTGTCTACGTGTTAGTAAAACTAATCTTCAGAGCCACACAGTGCAGCATTACTAAGCTCAGTCAGAAAAGATGACACATTCCCTTTGGTAAGCTACGGGGAATGGGCATGACTGCAAATGTGAGACCCTGCTTCTCTCTCTTCACCACTGCACAGAGCCCCTGCTGATGTGAATGGAACAGAGGTACTAAAGATCAGAGGGAGGTTCTGAGCTCCATTCTGTGCTGAAGGCCAAGAATCCTTCAGGCAAAGTGGTTTGTGATCCTGTAGTACAGTTGGTGGCTCAGCCTGGAAACTATGGGTACCATGACACCATCTATGGCTGAGTAGAGAAAATAGATACATTTTTTTCTTAAAAGATACATAAAAATGAATGCAGACTCCAGATAAATTCCAAAATTTGTAGTCGGAAATATTCTCCATTTCCTTAGCAGTCAACGGTTTTATATATTGATAAGAAAAGACCTTAAAATTCAGTTACCTTTGTCATCTTGAGGAAATTAATACAAGACAGTTTTCAAAAATTTCTGTGAGCTTCAGGAGCATTTAGTTTCCCTTCAGAAAGGAGATATCCCATCAGGTACATCAGAAATTTAGTTGTCCTCAGAATGGTTTGGGGAAGGACCATCTCTATTGTAGACTTTAGCAGACCAGCATCATCTGCAGTCAGATTTCCACTCTAAGGAAGTTGAACTGTGAGGATTTTAAATTATCTGTAGGACACACCATGGGCTCTTTCTAAAGCTACCCCAAACCTTTCTTTTCCCTGACAGGGGAATAGGTTTATACTCCTGGAAATTTTAAAAGGAAAAATCAAGTTGTGACTCATGCACCTTCTGTATACAAACCCAGTTCTTGCAGCTGGTTTTTTGAGGCATCACACGACAGATACCACATTTTTAGCTATTTCCTGCATTTGCCTCTTCTGCAGCCAGTAGAGCAATGAATTTGCTGTGTTATCCAGGGGCTGAATGCTTTGCCACAGCAGCAGCTTTCCAGGCCACTTGGCTCCAGAGGAGCTGCTTATGGTCTTTAATAGCAGTCATCCTTGACTTCTTATTTACTTTTGATAATCATGAATTTTATTAATTAGAATACTAACAGATCACATTAAATAACAAGTGTTAGGTTGGTTCTCTGTAAAATTAAAGCCTAGCCCTGATCACGCAAGCACATAAGTATGAGAGTAACTTCATGCTTGTGATCTGCTCCACTGGACTCATTGAAGTGTTTGCAAGTAGCTACTTAACATGTTCTCAGTGTCTTGTATAGTAAATACCCTCTCCTGTTTACATGGAGAGAATGGTTGATTAAGAGGTTTGTTTTCTTGTTTTTGTTGTTTTGTGTGTATATGTCTGTTTTTAGGCAAGTAAATTAGGTTTTTTGTATTTGGCAGTAAAAAATCGTCTGGTCAAAAAATCATCCAGATGCAGCTGACAGAGAAGACGTAATGTATTGGAATATAATTTCTAATGAGTAGAAACTGTGTTAGGCCTCATTGAAGGAAACTCTTCAATCTTACATCAGAGTGACAGATGAGTGCCCTGTAGACCTATTTGCTTTCACAAATGGCATTTATAAAGCTAACATTCTCTTCTAATCTTGAAAAGAAAGTACAGAAAAATTGAAAGCCAACAAAAAAAAATAGTTTAAAATAAAATTAGTTTTCATACTTTAAAATATTTTAGTAGAATGTACAAAGTTGTAAATAATATTAATTTGAGATTAATTTTACTCCAGAGTTCTAATTCTAAACTTTTTATATTTACTTTTTAATGTGTTTTGTATGAAGGAGCAATTTAAAAACTTTTATATACTTTGATGACTATTACAATTGCAGGTTTTATGTAGTTTATGCTTTCATAACAAATCTGTAAATTGTTTCTTGAGATTTTTAGAACCGAACACTCTAGTTGTGTTTGCTGCTGTTGAAAACTTGTCTTTTCTGCTCCTGCCATAGCATTTTGCTGGGAATATCTGGAACTAATGCAGTGTGGACACTTGGCTTCCTAGCTGCTATTCCACTGAGTTTCACATTTTAAAAACACAGACTCACCCTGTAAAAGCTGAAATATCAAAGTACTTTTAAATATAAATACTTTATAAAAATAGGAATTAGCACTGATTCCTTCTTATTCTAGCAATGCTCCAGCCCTGTATAAATAAACAATGAAAAAGTCTGATGATATGAATATAGATAAAATAAAACTTGAAAATTGCTTCTGAGGACACTAAGTTTGAACAATCTCATCACTGGAGATTAAAAATTCCATCATTTGGATAAATGAAAATGGGTAATGTCTACATGGAAGTGATGGGAAACAGAGTTGCTATTACAATACAGGTAAGCAAGGGATTTTGCTAACTGGCCATGTATAATTGCCTATTTTAATAGTCCACCCCTGATTATCTGTCTGGCTTGGATATGTTGTTGTGAAATGACTTCCAAAAGACATTGATAGTCCAGACTTTTCATGAATTCACATCATGGCTCTTTGTCTGGTTTAGAAAAATTTGTTTCCAGTGTCCATTTCTACTGCAGAAGGATTCAATGCCTGGGCACCAAAACAGGAGGTGGTGGCTGCCTCCCTGAGCTGACACTGGTCTTACTCTGCCCCCAAAGTCTACACACTCAGTTCATCCACATGACCTGTTCAGTGCATTATTTTATTTGGAATTCTGTCACTGGAGGGGAAAAAAGTGCATTTTAAAGAATAATTTTGATGGCATGCTGTGTAATAGAACCATTATATTTGTGTCTTCAGGATGTTGACCTGAAAGCATGTCAGGGAGCTTTAGGTGACTGCTGTCCACCTCAAGGAGAGGATCAGTTGGAACTGCAAGAAGAAGAAGAGAAAGACATAAATCAAGTAAGTGATGAAAAAAAGGGAAGAAGAGAAAAATGAAGAGAAAGTGAGGGAGGATATAGAAACGACTAAGATAAATAGTAATGAAAGGTTTTGAAAGGAATAATTTTCCTTTTTTTATTTTAAGTGTTCCTTGCCAGGGCAGGAAAGGAATGCTCACTCCAGACAATGCTTTGTGAATGTTTCCCCTGTACACTATTTTGAAAATTGCCTTCTTCCCTCAATCCCCCACTATTTTTGAGTAGTTGAGATATTCACAAGTTTACAGAAAACACTTGCAACTAATAATCTCTTAATTTAGGTTTATTTTCTCCATTATGAAGGTGTTGTGCTTGTGGGCGAGGATGTTCTTGCCTACAACACTAGAGACATGGATGCTAAATTAAATACTGCTCTCACCCTTTATGTAAAGCTTGATGCTCAGATGCAGAATTCCATTTGGCACACTGGACTCTTCAGTTTTGTTTTCTCTAAGAGTTACAATGAAAGGGGCACTCAATTTTCTTGAGACCTTGTGAGAGTTGAGAATATCTGATCCAGGTGTCTTGCCAGCCTGTTTGCCACTCCCCTGAGAGTTTGGCTTTGAAAAAATACCTGATTTTTCTGCACTGGTGGAGAGGTACAGCTTCAGAGGAAAGCCCAGTTCTGCTGTTGCAGGCATAGTAAGGCTGCTCAGGCCCTGGAGCTGTTCTGCTCTTGCTAACGTGTCATCTTCCATCAGTATGAAGACTTGATGGTGGTCAGCAGCAGTATTGCACTGTGCTCTGTGTCTCTCAGACTTTGATTTTTACCTCCTTTTACATAAAATGACTGTGCTTTACACCGTGTTTCTCTTTCTTTTGTCACAGAGCAACAGCAACCATGTAGATTCCCTTTTCTCCTTAGAGGGCTATTTACAGCTTCTGTCATCACAGGTGGAAAACATGCTAGAGGTAAATGAGAAAATACAGGAATCTGTATTTATAAAACAGAAAATCTGTTGCAGATAAATTGGAATACAATCAGCAGTTACTCTGTTTTATCAAATAACCACAGCTTACCCCACCCACTCTGGCAATATATTATCAAATCAATGTAGTAAAACATACCTGCAACTGCTAAAGATGCTACTATCCACCTTTTACAGCAGCTCTCATTGGCTCTACTTTAAAAATTTTCCCCAGCAACTTGTCTGGTGTAAAAGCTGTGTCTTTACTGTGATCTGGTTGGATGGAGCCACTGGACAACTCAGTTCAACGAATAGTTGTCTTTCTGAAACTTAATACCAGTTTGTATTTATCAGCAGCTCTTGGTGTGTTTCTGTAGAACAACCCTGATTTATTAAACAGGAGCAGCTATTGGGCATTTGTGGTGAAAGATTACATTTGTCATAAATATTGGTTCAAGTGCTTGCAGGGTTACTACTCTCAAGAACAACAGATCATCTTCACTGCAAATCAGATCAGTCAGCAGTAGCAGTAAACCCATTTTGTGGTTTGGGTTTTTGGGGTTTTTGTTAAATCTTGTGGCCCTCTGATACTGTATTTTACTTTCTGTGTGCCCATGTTCACAAAAAATGCTTGTTATCACAATTGAAGTCTCCCTCTTCTCCCACTGCTCATAGCTTCAACCACTGACCATGAAGCTACTCTCTACATTCCTTTTTTGCAATACTTAACGGCATCTTACATACACTTCCCATCACAGGATCCTTTTCTGGGGCCATTAGCATTTTCCATATAACTTCATGCTTATCTGGTTTTGGGAATCTGTAGCTTAGATAGTACCTTCTAGCCCATAAATCAGCCTTCTCTTCTGTTCAGCTCTGGAAATGGATTGCACACTAACAAGGTGTAGAAGTTCATCAGTTTAGTTTTCTCTGTTCTCAAAATTTGAAAGGAATTTGGCTGTAGGCTTTATGCAGCTATTACAATACACAGTAACATATTGTATATTTTATTTAACATTATTTATGCACTGCCATCTTGTGACAATCTATCTGTTAAATATGGATTGATTGTTTCTGCCAAGTATCAAGTCTTTACAATGAGTGGGATATTTTGATAGCTGACTTACTAAGAATTGTTCTTTTCAAGGGATTAGTTGAAAATAGCATCTCTATCTCACAGACAGCAGGTGCTCTAATACAGGGTAACTCCATAGCAGAAATAAGGCAAGACCTTCTGTTACCTGAGCTCCCAGTAAGCATAATAGAGAACTGATGTTCTGTTCCTTACAGTACATCATTCCTTCCCTGTGGAAAGTGTGTTTTACACAGTCTGTTCACTGAATAGCAGTCAGGAAGTCCTTCCCTGAAACTCAGTAAAGAACACTCAACTGTGGAGGAATCCTATGCATTTCCTACTTGATAAATTTACATTCTCAAGTACTTTGTATCCATTTATTTTATGACTGCTCTGCTTGACAGCAAGCACTCAACATAATCTTGGACTGTGGCTTTGTGTTTCTAAGACCCAGCAACTTTAACTCAGGTCCACAAAAGGTGGGCCTTAGTGCTACCTACAGCATTACCAGTCCAGTTTATTGTTTGAACATCAGGGCCAAGGCATCATATATCAGCTTTGGTTTTGTAAAAAAACCGAGTAGTAATTTAAAGTCAAGACATCCACAAAAGGTATGACTTGGTGGGGGAGGTGTTACTTCCAAACTGATCAGTGAAATATTTCAGCTGAGTTTTGGATGCAATTGACTGTTGTTAAATGGAACTAAACCAAATGTGGTACATCACAGCCTTGGAAACTTCATAAACTGTGAAATGAGTAGTCAGACTGCAACAGCACAGTCTTAATGTTCCTGTCTTCCACTCCTCTTTTATTCACTGGTTTCATATGGGAGTAGGAATAACAGTTCTTTACTTATTTGTATAAATAAAAAAACTACAACTTAATAGGAAAATTAAAATGCAGTAGTACAAAAACCACTGACAGAGTCAGAATACAACCTGACACCCCGCTGGTCAGGGTGTTGCTAGCAGTCCAGTTAAGTGGTGGCTGCAGTCACTGTTGAAGCAGTGATCCTGTGGAAGGCTGTAGTTTTCCTCTGAAGGTCCAGTGGTGATGTAGAATGGTCTGGTCTTCCTTTGGGAATCCAATGGAAGAAGGCTGACTGTGGTGTTCCAAATCTCAGACTATATCCAGGTAGGAATGCTGGGTAGAGCATCTCCCAGTGGGCTGATGTAATTCTATCAGCCATGCAGTGAGACTCAATGGCCCATTAACAGAAGATTTTCCCTTGGAGGGAGGATGGGTTGTGGAAGAGATAAAGAACACTGTCCCACTTGTTTTTAACAGATGGGTAAAACCTTTACTTTTGCTTACATCTTGCAGTGCAACCTAAGAGAATCATCAATACCACTACCATGAAAGGGTCATTACCACTCCTCCTAGGACTTTTTTCTTAAACCAGATCAGACATAACACATGTAGGCCATAGTTTGTACGCTTGGCAATAGTCATATTTTTACCTCTCAATCCTCATCAGTCCCACACTGTCCTTTGCAAGTCCTTCTCCCATTCCTTCAGTCAGTTCTGCACCCTTCCTGCTTCCTTTTGCCATGTGCCAATACAGATTATGCTTTGTACAGATGGGAAACAGCATTACAAATAGCTAGAAGAGCTTAATGTACAAAAATTTGGCTTTAATAGAATCAAGTAGTGGAATATTGACAAACAAATTGATTGTGACTGTGTAGGCAAGGGATGTAGAAGCATTCATTTTATGAAAGATCCCATTTCCCTCTCCCCCTTTCATCTTTTAGGTGAACTTACTGGAAGATACACAAGTTGCTACTTCTAGTAAAGACCAAGACCCATCATCCTCAGACCACAATATAAATTTGACCCAGACACTTCAGAACAGTTTTGGTCCTTCTGATGCCATGCTACTAGGAACAGACTACCCCACTCAATTAAATTCAAAACCAAGACACTTACAAAGGCAAGAGTTCTTTCCTCAATCAAGCTCTGGTATCACAAATCCAGAATCACTGTTTCATGGGTCAAATTTGACAGGGCTGTTTTCAGCTGCTGACATTAGAAATCTAACAGCCCATGATGATAGTTTTGATGAAATTAAGCTCATGTCTTTGGCTTTGGAGGAAGGCTTTAGTCCTATAGAAGTTTCTCAGATGTTTGAAGAGCCTGGCTCAGATTTGGGACCATCTTTGAATTCAAATCACTGCACCACCTCTTATTCAATCTGCTGTGAAGGTTCTGTTGGGTACAGCAGTGGTGTTAAATCTGCTCCTTCACATGGCTTAGGAGCTGTTGGTGGCCACTGCCAAGAAAACATTAAGCACAGCCACGTGGAATATCCGGGTGATACAGAGTGTTCTGCAGAAGCCACACTTCAGCAGTTTCTTCAAAATCACACATACAATCAGGTGCCAAGTCAAACAGTATCCACTCCACAGCATCATCAACAGATGTGGATGAAGAAATCAAACGAAGTGAAAGATGGGTACCACAATTCTACTGCTACAAACCGGAGCAGAGATGAATGTCGTGCAAAAGCTCTGAGAATACCATTTTCAGTTGATGAAATTGTGAGCATGTCTGTTGACTCTTTCAACGCCATGCTAGCAAAGAACCAGCTAACAGAAACTCAGGTATCACTTCTGCGTGACATCAGACGAAGAGGAAAAAACAAAGTAGCTGCACAAAAATGTCGTAAACGCAAACTGAATGCAATTCTTAACTTGGAAGAAGATGTGTGTAACCTCCAAACACAAAAGGAGACCCTTAAAAAGGAGCACTCCCAGTGTAGCAAATCTATCAACCAGATAAAGCAAAAATTAAACTACTTGTACCATGAAATTTTCAGCAAACTGAGGGATGACCAGGGTAGACCTGTTAACCCGTGCCAATATGTCATTCATTGCAGTAGCAGTGGTAGTGTTTTCATAATGCCCAAGCACTTGGCCAAATCTGAACAGAAACAAGATAACAGGAAAGAGCAGAAACAAAAGTAAAATGACTGGACATCACCTAAATCACCTTTTTTTCACCTGAAAGGATGATAAGAATACTTGAGTGAAGACTAAAGGTCAGTGATTACAGCAGTTCAAACAGCAACAACTACACTTGAGGAGGAACACTGTGTTGAAGGGTCTGGCAAACCCAACCAGCTGTGATCTATTAGAAGATCCATGAGCTGAGGCCTCTAGATGAGGATATCTGTTTAGTTTTAGTTAGAATTAAAGGAACTAGACCATCAGTGTAGTGTAGCTTTACAGACCTGTGTTAAAACTAGGAATTTAGTTACTGGTAATGGGGGCAGAGGGGAAGAACATTAGTGAGGGATAAAACTCAACTTTAGATTGTTACACATGCAAGAAAAAGTTTTAGTCTTGAATACTCTATTCTTTATACATAAAATGACCTTTGTTCTCTAGCACTGAAAGAAAAAATACAGTTCTAGTGCATCTTCAACTTAAATTCACTGTAGGTTTCCATAGGCTCCAGAGATAACTGTATGCTTTGCATTTATTCAGAATAGCTCTGCTTTTCCTAGTTTTCCTGTGAGGAGAGCAGCCCAGGGGGCTACTGCATTTTTCCTCACTACTTTCACCATCATAACGCCAAGCAAAGATCATCTGCCACTTAATTTTACAACTCATATACTCAGTCTGCAAACAGATGCTGAAAAAGTGTCTGATTCAATCCTGTCTTACCTTCATCCTATGCAACTGAATCATTCTCAACTTTCTTCCACAAAAATGCCCAATGCTGGAGTTCCTGTTCAGTTTCCTAGTGACTGTCATACTTACCTCGTGTACCTTCTCTTTTCCTTCCATTTTGACACCTTCCTAAAGACGTACTTGAGGTTTTTCTCTATGGCTTTTTTTAACTAGTATTTTTTAAGTGTCTTTAATGTCCCCAATTTAATTTTTTATAATATACATTTTACCTAGTCTTTAAATTAAATTGAACCAAATTACTATTTATCTATACTTGTAGTTATGAGGTTACACTTTGATAGTGCTCCAAATGAAGAGTTTTTTGGTTTGACATTTATCTGTGCTATTTAAAAGAGGTTTTATTCACTCATGTACTTCCAACATCCTATCCTTTACTGTTTTACAGCGTGAAAAAGGTCTGCAAAAGAGATGGCCTAAAAGGCCTGTAATGAATGATAAGGAAGGAGTGTTGAGGTGTATTATGATGAAAATAACTACTACTATTAGTGTCTAGATAACAGCAAATACTTTTTGTTCGCTTTACTTAAAAAGTTCTCATTAGTCATGGTATGATGACAATGGAGCAAATTTGCATTCAGGTATCTTCAAAATCACTTGTACCAAACATGTGAAAACTACACATACGAGGTTAAATGCCAAGTAATACCCACTGAAAAAACAAACTGCCACTAACATGGAAGTCACATTGGCTGCTTGCACTAGTCTATAAAAATTGGTAAGATTAAGTGGCATTTTCTAAAAAGGGAGTCCTAAGGTAGTGACAAATGCACTGAACTATCAATAATGAAATCAGCCTATCTGAACAATTTTCTCAGCATTTTCTATTAAAAGGTTTCTTCAAATAAATGTGTGCATGTGTTCTTTACCGGTTTCACCACAGCCTCAAATTGCTAAAGTACAAATTCATAGCAGCAAGTCTCATGACTGAGGCCGTGCAATTTCTTGTTGTTGGTTAAGCATGAGATGCAGGTGTCCCAGTTGGTATTCACATGGAATTTGTCTACTAGCTAGGCCAAACTTCAATCAAAACATGCAATAGGTGTCAGATACTACATATGATGAACTGTGAACTTTATTTCTCTATGTAGGGGGAAAAAAAGTACATATTCAAATCAGCATGATCATAATAGATTAAATGACATCATAAACATTTTAAAATCCATGCACTTACCCTCTGCAGGATGAGGTCTTTAAACCTACTTCACTGCCCGTGTGCCTAAATTCTGCTAGCTACTAGATGAGGCTCCTAACTGAGAAATCTAGAAAGCCAAGTATTTCTGTTTTAGAGCCTCTCATGGGGACAAGAGAAAAAAAACTGAATCTTTTGGTGCCCACTCCTTCACTAGCAATGGCAGGTGAGCTCTGTGGATTTTTCTAAGGCCAGCTGTTAATGGAGTATTGTACATAGCAAACTGGGAAACAGCTACATGGTTAAATTTTGGCCCATGCCAAAAATAAAGCATACTGTAACCCTTTGAGAACACAATCCCAATGGAAACCTTTTACTCCAACTGATCCATTGAAGACATCAGCCCCAATCCCATTCCATTACCTGTCAATTTGCAGATTGTAAAGGATTATGAACTGCCCTCAGCTAATTCAACTGTCATTACTGCCCAGTAACTGTATGTCTTTAACAAGCTGATGAACCTCAGTTCCTCAGAACCCAACAAGCAACTCTACCCTTAAAAAAACTCTGGAGCTGAAATTCTAGTTGTGGATGGACTGCAACAATATTAATGACACAATGAGTGTTCTGTATGGATATGTATTTTTTCAAACCATCAGGTACCTGCCCACAGGACAAAACCATAGGTAGAATTCAGACCAATGTCCTATTTTTTAATTGGAGTAGACACATTTCATCTAAAAGCCGTTGAAGTGTCTTCCCTTTCTGCAGCTAGCACGTGTTTAAAGAAAAATACCAAACACACACACACAAAAAAAATCCACACCAAACAAAAATCCCTAAACATTGCCTGGTCTTGGCTATGCTTTATAGTTTGATGTCATCAAATGATGTGTGGTTAGGATAGACAGCCTGAAGCTTCTGATACGCTTTATGTACTGGCCTTAGACCGTATCTGCAACCTCTATACCAAAATAGACACTCTATTTTTGAACTTTTCACATAAACTTTTCATGTAAAGGACTGGTCAAAGAAAGTTGTTACTGAAAGGGTTGTAAAATGTGGATAACACCCAACTGCTGAAGTCTGTCTTGGCTTTATTATTGACAGATCCTAAATTTTCACAAAATCAAAATCCCAAGTGTACAAATCAGGAGCTTTAGTGCATGAAAAGAAACCATGTGGTATCCTACTCTGGAGCCAGATGTGACAAAGCCATTACAGCTGTATCTTACCTTAATACTACTCTGAAACACAGGTCTGATGTTAGGCTGGAAACACTTTTTAATTATATATTATTTAATTATATTTTAATTATAGGTAGGAAACCACTAAGCTGATGATTATAAACAGCTGTTGACATCAAAAAACAAATACAGAAGAGGAAGAAATCATTAAAATACTGTTCCCATGGCAAAGCTTTTAAGTAGTCTGCAACACTTCAGAGGTAAACTACATTTCTGTATTGTTAATAAGAGCTTATCTGTAAGAAGTTAGGAAAGGTCAGATTAAGTAAAAGGAAAAACTGGGTGGTGTGCCTGTGACTGTGCACACATACTGTATTCCCATTACTGATCGCAGCAAGATGTACTACCTGCTGGCCAAGATTCACACCTGGTCTGGAGAAACATCCACCAGTAACAAATGCAAGCCAAGTACTCCATCAAACTGCAAACCCATTTCATTTTTTCTGATGTGTAAGGCTGGACAGTCCTATAAAGGCATCTTGCAAACAAGCACACCCAGAACAGACAGCATTCTGCTAAAACACTACATGCACTTTGAGAATGACCAATACAGTAAAGTACAGCTTTAAATTAACGTTTTAGGTTTTAGGTTTTATTCAATAGTTCTGTCTCTTTACAACGCCAAACTTTACAAGCTAAGGATGTTCCTGCTCAAGAGCTTACAGTCTAGTCTTAGATGGGGAACCAGAAAAAACTTCAATGAGGAAAGGACAAAGCACTTCAGGAGTATCAGCTTGTCAGTCTTTGTCTAAAACACACACACACACACATTAGTAGTTCTTTCTCTGAGAGCAAGTACAGCTCTAACGATCTTGAGGGCAGAGGTGGCAGAGACCTATAAATGAGGCAACAGGACACTCAACAGCAGGGTGTAGTGAAAAACACTTTTATTTTATGTAAACCAAATAGAGATGGCAGATGTAACCAGGTGAAGTCTTACTACTGTAGTGTACCTCATGAAGTACTGCAACTTGACACCTGCTGCACAGCTACTAGAACTCTGATGTCCATCAGCCACCCATTTTCATTCAAGAATGCCCCAAAATGAACCAAGCAAGGGGGAGAGTGCTGGAACAGCAATTTTCTAGGACTTTCCCCCAGTCACCTTTTTGCACAGTGGAGCAGCATGGGAGGTCACACAAGCTAGTCTGTGAGGTGCCCAAACACTGTTGACCTAACATGTTCATAGCACTCTGTCAGGCAAGTCTCACAAGTATTTATACACTGTTAATTTTACTGCTGATAGAAAAACCAGTTCTTGCTCCATTAAGAGTAACTCCTGACAAAATTTCTGTGCAACACAAACCAACAGTAGCTGCAAAGCAAAAACATGACCATTAAAAGGGACAGTACTTCTGGCAAAATGGATCAATACCCAGGCAAACCCTTCCATATGACACTCCTATGCATTCCTAGACACACTGAATGGTATGGTTGAAAAAACATGGCTGAAGAGGAACAGCCATCTCCCTTAGGCAGAAAAGAAGCAACAGCACTACTACAGGGTTCCACTTGCGTCACACACTCTGCTTCAAAAATGAACTGAAACACTAAACCTGCAGGTAATGTACAGCCCCAATATGTTCCCAGCAGCAAATGATCCCCCACCAATGAGGTCCAGCTGCCAAAACAAACTCAGTTGGTAACAGTTTGAAAATTCAGATCCATTTCTGGGGCTTGGGTTTTCTGTCCCAGAAGTGGTATGATTTCATCACCAAGAGATCATGTACATTCATCATCATACTAAAAGAATACAGTCTTTCCTACACATCACAAAGTTCAAGTCCTGTTCATTTCACAGTGTAACGGCAATTGTTCACATTTTCTTGAGTGTTTTTTAGCACCTGCAGCACAATAGAAGTAGAATTCAACTTTCATTGTAAGTAACACAAAGTCTGAGTGGCCAGAACCCTACTACTGACCCTTTTTCACCATCATTTTGTAAATACAAGTAATACTATTTTTGGGTGGTCTTTGGCTCACACACCAGTTATCAACAAGTTCTGTTGTTTTTCTTTCTCCCCTCAGTTTGCTGCACAAAGTGTTCACTGGGGGAAGGCTGGACTTAGTACTGACAACCGGATCCTCAGCTGTTAGTACCTGGAAACACTGTAATGTTACACTTATTTGGAAGACGAAGTCTGTAGTGACAAAATCCTACTTGATAAGTAAGAATCCATTGCCTACAAATTGATGACCAGTGACTGACCACACAATTTGAAGCTGCTAAAAGCTTCCAGTATCAGGCTGACTCAGAACTGTTACTTCCCTCACCACATTCATTGGTGAACACTGTTGACTGTCACGTGCCTTAACTTTTAAGACCACACCAAGAGAAAAGTCGTGGAAGTTCAACAGTAGGACATCAGAAAACTTAAAATACACCAGATTTTCAAACCTCAACTTTAAATATCCAGTAACTTCACTCTTGTGCAGTGCTGTCCCCCTGTACACTCCCTTCCCTCAGTGCCAACAGATCAAAATAAGACAGTACTCATTATGGAAACCATGCTCAATTAAAGTAGATTTTAAACCTTGTTACTAAACTACTGAAATAGTATTTTAAACAGAAAAATAATTACTGCCCTTTGAAGTGGTTTTGTTAGTTCTTTAAAATGGTATATGAATGTGGACTTGGCAACTGTAAAGAAAAAACTTTCATCAACTACATCTAAGTTATAGGAAAGAAGGTAAATTCCTTATGATCTGGTCATTCTGTTGGAAAGAAGAAAGTAAAGGAGACTTGTGCATCTTCATTTTCTACTTCCGTTGCAGCCCACCGGTCACCTATGCAAGTATTTCAAAGTTCAGCTTAAACAGAAAAAAATTGTATGTGAATCCTTAAACAGTATTTAAAGGTTAAAGACTCGATGATTCTGCCAAAGCATATAAATTTCAACTTTTGAATAAACCATGCATGAAGATAAATGTTAAAATAGAATAACCTCAGGATACACTCCCCAACTGAAGCTTTCCCAAGCTCACACTTGGTGTTTGTTTTAATAGTTTCATTTGGTTTGGCATTTTTTGTTTTGGTATTTTGATTCTGCCCCCAGATGCAGCTATGGGTAATAGAGTTTTGTACAGCAGGTCTGTCTGTCTTCATGCTAAAAGCTCTTTAGAAGTGAAAAGGATAAAGCTCTTGTCCTATTGCATCTGACAAACTGACTTAGGTCATAGTTTTTTTAACAGGCAAGTATGAGGTAATATAAAACGCAGCCAAAAAAAAGCTATTTTTAAGCACTTGTGTCCAACAGCACAGATATCAGCACTTTAAATTTGCAGCACTGTTTCTCCCAGAAGAGAACAGATGCCCATGGTCAGAGAAACAAGTTCCATGAACACACATGGCAAACTGATTGTTTTAAATTCACCTCAAAATGGAATGTTTCAAATCATGAAAGGGTCTAAACATAAACATTATTTAATGTTAAATACACACTAAATTTTTATTAAGCATTACACTAGAACTACTTTGGTATAAAAATACTTTATTTTAAAGCTATGAAAGTTATAAATATATGTAGTTAAACTTTCTACTCACAGAATGTTTGCTCTTTTAACATTAGTGATTTGTTTCTCCTAACGAATCTGAATTTTATTCGAAAGGTTTACAAGACATTATTACTGTAATTTAAAAAACCCATCATTACAGGGAGCTGTACTAATTGTGATGTTTTATCAGTATTCATTTAACCTCTAGATTTTTAATGAAGGCAGCAAAAACAACTATTTTCTGATGATACAGAATTTCTTATTTCTTGAAGCGTTTCTGTGGTTGACCACTTCTTCATTAGTTACCTGCAGCATGGCACCTTCCTGCCAAAGAAAAAAAAAGTGTATCTGAAGATGTTTATCACATATGTCTAAACCAAATTACCAATAGGGGAACTTCAGCCATTTTAAAAAAAAAAAGTATAAGCAGTTCACTGGTGTGTCTAACACAAAAGGAACAGGACTTTTTTTTAGCTGAGTCCACGTTCTTCAATGGGTAGCCTTTTAGAGGCAATGAACTTTGAAATTAAGGCATTTTTGGTTGCCTTTTTTTTTTTGATAGGTTTTTGTTGATTTTTATTTAAAAACCAAATCTAGTAAATAAAGTATGCCACCCTTACTCTGAATAACTCATTCATTACTTGATAAATTTCCATCAATTTGAGGTGCAAATATTCAATGCAGTGAGAGTAAGGCTGACTAAATTTGGCACTAAGGTTTGTTAGCTGCAAGAACTATAAAAAATGGTGGAAACCTCAACATTCTAGCCAAATTCCAATTTACATATATACATTGTACGCTTATGAAATACCACCTGCAGTTTCATTTGAAGGTTTCACTTCCCCTCCTAAAGAACTGCTTATGCAGTTGTTAAAAGAATGGACGACACATTCCTTCACAGAGGCAGATGTATTCTGTGGTGCAATTTTTCCTTACACGTAAACAGTCTACAGTTACTTGGGAACCTTCAGGATGAAATGTGTTATATAGAATAGATTACAGCAGACAAGACACATAACAACATAGTTCATTTTCAACAGCACAGAACTACCTTCATTGCATTACCTTGCAACCACCATAATGCATAGACTCCCAAGAAAAAAGAAAATGTTGCAGGATGCAAAAATAAAGTTGTATGATTTAATTAACTTGTGACCTACCATTTAACTACCAACACCAGGGATGGAACCCTTGCAAAGCTTTACTAATGGACACTTGCAGGTCTCATTTGTTCAACTGTAGCAGTGTACAGTGGCAGCAGTCTATGCTTGTCCAGGGTTCATATCATAGCTAGATTCCAGTAGGAAAAAAATATGTTAAGTAGCTGAAATTAACAATTTTTTTTGTAAAAAATTTAATAATACAAGAAAACAGGATTCACAAGTTTCTTTTCAATTTGTAATTGTTAACTCAAATCATTGCTATGTTAAACTACATAACGATAATCACTATACTGAAAGAATACTGTCATACATTATTAGTTTCTTGGTTTTGAAACATTAAGAAAGGAAAAGTAAATAAGATCTTACCTAAAGAAGTTTAACTGAAGCTTAGAACTATTTTGCTCTACACCCTCAGCCTTCGTTGCCATCCTTATAAACAATCTACCGTAGTTAAAGCTTTGCAGAGATACAGCACAGCTTTTTAAGACTGGCTGAACTTTTAGTGACGTTTTCAAGAGTTCTCTTGTACTAGACCTGCGTCCCTGGAAGAGTACCTTGCTGGGGGTTTTTCCTTTCCTTGCCATTGAAGAAGCAGCATCTAAAAAATCTAAAAAGGTGTTTCTCCTTGCAGAGATACCCCTTAAGTTACCTAGATATTTTAAACCTGGTAATTTACAGACAACATACTTTTTCTCACCAGCATTAAATTTTACACGTACAACAATAGCTTTGTATTATGTGGGACCTTATACTACCCACTCCTTGCCTTATTTTACAGTATTAAAAAAAAATCTAAAATTACACAATATTTCCTTTAGAATTATTTTATTAAAATCATAAATGTACAACAGCTTCTTAACTCTACACACGCACTTAAATTTTTAAAAGGAAAACGTTATGTCTTATTACACCATGATCCTGGCTAAAAGCTTTTCAAAACTTTGAGAAAAATCTTAAAAAAGGTTTCACATGTCACCTGAAACTTACAAATTTAACATTATCAAAGGAATGCTTCTACACTTACAAAGACCACTAGAAAGAAACAACAATTAAAAAGCTAAGAAACTGTCTCAAAGGCATTTTTACAATCCTTCCTCCACAGTAAGGTAATGTTATTAAATAATCCAAATCCATTCACAAAATGGCTCTCTGCATCTGCTCTGGTGTCTTCTGCCATACCACTGCATATTTATGCATGACTGAGATAAGTGTTTCCTTAACATTGTTATTTCGATAACCTGAAGCTGTTCTGTTACCTCTGGGCTCTCATCCTCTCCTATTTATACAGTGAAGCCTGTTTCAACAGAAGTAAAGAGTAAAAAAATAGGTTATGAAATTATTCATCTAACCATTTTTTAAAGGAAAGATAATATCCTAAAAAGCTTTTAACTCCTGCAGCTACTCTCAAGAATCACTGCAATTATAACACTTAAAAACATACTTACCCATGGCATGCTTGAGGAAACTCAGTAACGGCTCCTCCCTCCATATCCACCACTTCCTCCACTGCCCCCTGGACCATAGTTTCCTGCAGTTGCAGAACAAGAAACAGAATGGTCCCATCAGTACATTTTTCAATCTAGGAGTTTCTGACTGAAACAATCAAAGTGACCGAATGAAGAGTAACATTTGCTTTACTTCCAGTGACAGCATATACAACAAAGACTTCTACCATTTCACTGTCTTCCTCTAAAGAACCTCCAAGGACTGCCACAGAAGAAACTACATGATGAAATCTTAGAAGATTCAACAGTGCCACAAGTAATTTGATGCACTGTACTGTCTTAAGCCTGTGAGGGCTGAATTTGCTTGCCAGCTAAACCACAGAAGAAAGGGCTTCATGTTTCTGTTTCCATTCCACAAACCTAGCATTTCACATTAAGTAACATTTAGACAACAAAAAGCAGGAATGTCAAAAAAAAAAAGACACAGGAGGAGGATAAAAAGAAATCACAGCAAACATGCTGGAAATTAAGTAACTAGACTCTCCACAAATAATGTGAGCTGATAGCAAACAACATTAAATAGAATCCTTTAACTCGAAACTGGAAAAGTTAGTACATTTTATCTGTTTCAAAATAATAATTTTCCCGGAGACAAGCTTTACAATCTCAAGATGAGACACTGAACCCAACTTGCAGAAAGAACACAGACACTGCAGTCCATCTACTGCAGAAGTTACCAAATTTCTACATATCCATCTTGGAATCATAGACACTGACCTGGGCTGGAAGGGACCTTTCCAGGTCATCTCGTTCCAACCCCTCTGCCATGAGCAGGGTTATCTGTCACTAGACCAGGATACTCTTAAGCCCCATCTAACCCCACCATGAACACTACCAGCAATGGGGCACTCACCCACCGTCATCACCCTCACAGTCATTTTTTTCCCAATACTTAATCTCAGCCTATCTATTTTTTTAGTTATAAAAAGTTACCCCCCCCCATGTCTTATCTTCTATTTCCCCTGAAGTCCTAGAAGTCCACCCACTCCAGCTGCAAGGAAAACATACACAACATGAACAATACCTCCACCATATGGTCCCCCCATGTTCCGGCTGCCACCAAAATTTCCACTCTTCATCGGACCATAATTTGAAGGTTGTTGGTTGTAGTTGCCAAAATCATTATAGTTTCCACTTCCGTAATTGCCTGCATTATCAACACGAAAGTGTAGAAATACCTAGGTGAACTAAAATGGATACAACACTCACAGGACACCCCATTATAAAAATTCTAAATTAAGTAAAAAAAATCACACATATATTCCAGCAGTGTGTGCACCAAACAATGTTTTCATTCTATTTCATACTACTTGAGAAACAACAGCTTCCTTACACAACACTTACAAACACCCCTCCCTCCCCCCAACCTCGAATGACTTGCAGTGATTTGCAACTGAAATGCTTGAATGTTTAAAGCCTGAATGTTACCTCCTCCATAGTTGTCATAACCACCTCCATAGCCTCCACCCTGGTTGCCATATCCAGGTCCTCCTCCACCATAGCCTCCTCTTCCTCCACCATAACCAGGACTGCCACCGAAGTTGCCACCTGTGAGAACATAATCCTTTTAAATTAACTTTTCAATATAGAATGCTTTCAATTTATACACGAAGGATATTTCTGTTTAGAAGAACAAAGAGAAAGAACAGTAGTTTTGTAAAGGAATTTCTATGAGCAGTATTTTTTAAAGCACATACCAACTTCCCACCCTAACTGAACTATGACCAAATCCCACCAGACTGCCTAAAGACCTCAACTAAAAGGTTTAATTACATCTTCATTTTCCAGGAAATTTAAGACTCATTCCTGTCCTAAAGGAAAGAAGGGTTGTCCAAGAAATAACCATACAATTCGCCATATGGAAATTTGACATAAGCCAACAAACATGTACACTTTCTTAAAGCCAAAAAAAAGGCTCAGGTAATTCAGATAAACTTTATACATACAGATAAAAGTATGGAAGTGTTTCTTAATGAGAGAAAAATCACCACCAAAACAGCAAACTAACCTCCAGGTCCTCCACCATATCCGTTATATCCATCACCAAATCCACGGCCACTTCCATATCCATCTATCGAGAGAAAAAACCCCAAAGGACTTCAATTTACCTGTAGCAAACTAGTCGAATTCTCAAACCCTTATGACTTTTTAAGAACTAAATCTCAAATTACCAATTAAGAACCAATCATTGCTCTACATTTTTCCTTTTCTTGCATTTGTAAGTACCCAGTTTTAAAAGGTCAGGTAAGTACTGCATAGAATCAGAGAAATCTCTGGCCTATTTAGCAAGTAATGAAGTTTAGGTTACTTTTGGCTTTCAACAGAAGCTTAAAAAAAACAAACCCAAACAACTCAAAAAACACAACCAAAACAGAACAAAAATCAGAATACAACTCCACTTGCAAGTTACTTTTCCCAAAAATTCTCTTGAACACTGCTATAGCTGTGTTTAAGTTAAACAGCGCCACAGCATCCAAAGTTATCCAGAACCAGAAAGACGGTTATTAATAAGGTAAAAAATGTAAATGTTACAAACATGCCTGTCTTACCGGCTCCCCCTCTGAAATTGCTGCCAGGTCCTGGACCAAAGTTGCCACCGCCTCCACGAGCATCACCAAAACCGAAGTTCCCTGTAACAGTTTAACGTTTAGAAGTAGTGAGATTGTTGAAAGTGAACAGAAAAATCAACCACAAACCAGTAACCATTACTTGTACATACCTCCTCTCCCACTCCTAGAATTTTGAACCTCCTGCATTTCCTGTCTAGAGAGAGCTTTCCTTACTTCTGCATTATGGCCATTGATGGTGTGATACTTCTGCACTGTAACCGTATCAAATAAAAGGCTATCAGCATTTAACTGGCAACAAGTCAGAGTTTAGACTTCCAATACAAACACATTCTGAATTATATAAAGAACACAAAATACCATGTTTTTTAAACAAGGTTGACCGCACTTATTTGAAATACATGCTCCCCCACAATTCAGCAACCTATGATGTAGTAAATATACAGGCACGTAACTAATCCCATTATCTGCAAGTTTAGCTTTACACTAATCGATGCTGCAAGAATTCATACTATCCAAGGAAATAGTGAAATTACTTACATACAATTTTATCCACAGGATCATGGTCATCAAATGTAACAAATCCAAACCCTCTCTTTTTACCAGACTGTCTGTCAGTAATGATTTCAATAGTATCAATTTTTCCATATTCCTCAAAGTAGTCACGAAGGTGGTGCTCCTCAGTGTCCTCTTTAATACCACCAACAAATAATTTTTTCACAGTAACATGAGCACCAGGTTTTCCAGACTCCTGTTAAAAGAACTTTTTAAATTAGCACTAAGAAAAACATTTTCACAAAGCACTAGTATTACCAGTATTTCAAGAACAGAATTCAGATAAACTAGGATTCTTCAAGCACTAAGGTACAGCCCTTTTAAGAGGCATGACCTTGCAAGCTCATTTAGGGGGCCTTCTGAGAGGAAAGTAACACAGCATTACTTGGAGATTTTTCCTCCCCCCTTTATGTCAAAGTCCTATAAAAGCTCTGGAAAACCATACAGTTTGAAAAGAACTGCAAGTATTTAATGACTTAAGTTAAAGCACGATTTTTATAATTATTTAAATGAAGATGCATCATCTTCTTCTGCCCAATTCCTCAACAGCAGTGAACCCACATTGCACTTGTATCAAGGTCCTTAAAGCTCAGCAAATTCACAACTATGCATTTTAACCCCATTAAACAGTATACAGACACACTGCTGTAACTACCTTTTTCCATATGCTAACCAGCCCTGCATTCTGCAGAGAATGGAAAATTGGGATAGCTACACAGGGGCACCAGTGATCACAATTTCCATTTCCCCATACCTCTGGGACATTCAACTCAAGTTCATCAGTCCAAATGTATTAAAAACTTCAGTCCAAGCTTAATCTGGTAAACCCTCCCAGAGCTTCTGTGTGGTGAACAGAACTTGCCTTATAATCCACACTTGCTCTTTCAAGTACCTCTGTGCCACAGTAACCTGGCTTACAGTAGCTCATTCCTGTACACATACTCCTAATTTGTACCCTGAAGTGGAAATCAAGTATGCCTGGGGCTAAAACCAGCACAAGTCCACAGATGATTCTCTACATCACCACTGGAAAAGCTTCCTTGCTACATTCTCTGTTTTTATTTACCTTTAGAAATACCTCAAGAAGATCCTGGAATAGTCAGAAAGACTGACAGGAGTTAATTAATTTGAGGCTTAGTAACTATTCCAGAAAGAGTTACTTCAGAATTTGCATAATTACAGACATTCAACCTGTTTTCTACAACACTGTTTTCAGACCCCATGTGTCCCTTGCAGATATGATTCCACAGCCAGAATAACATTCAATGTAATTCACAATAAGAATAAATATTTATGTAAGAGGCCAAAAGTGTGGGAAATAGTGCCCCAACTATGGGCTTTTAACTAGGTAATTTAAACCTAGGTTATTTCAAACAAGAACAATGCCTTTCTGACCAGAACAGGAATTTTTCAGAGCAGGAGAAGCATCTGCTTTCAAAGCCATACTCACCTCTCTAGCCACAGCTCTCTTAGGCTCAACCACCCTTCCATCAATTGTGTGAGGTCTTGCAGCCATAGCTGCATCAACTTCAGCCATGGAAGAGAATGTTACAAAACCAAAACCCCTTGATCTTTTGCTTGCAGGATCCCTCATTACCTAAAACAAATAAACACATTTAAACCACATATAACTGTCTAATGTTAAGCTTTTTGCTAACAGCATCTGAGTTAAGTGTGTAAGCTTAATTTACATTTTCTTAGCTTTGATTTTGAAATGCAATTAAAGTACCAGTACTCTGCTGATTTAATATATGAATGACACTGCTTGGGATCAAAGAAATTGAAACCTCTGTTGTCCTCCAAACTCAGTTAACTCAGAAATGCTGCTAGATCAGGGAGGTACATTTATATTTATGGGGGGGGGGGGGGGGGGGGGGAAGTCATAGACATAATTTTTTAAACTTCATGAAGACCAGACTTTAAATCTGTGTTATGATTTACTACTCCTAAGACAATTCAGTGGAGAATTTCTCCCAGAGCTACTATCCCTGTCAGTATTTAAAAGACACACACTAACACAGTGCTTACAGAAATGGTTTAGCTGTGTATGCAGTTCCTAATGCACTTCAGCCAATGATATTTCGAAGTTCAACTATCTCTATAAAGATTGCAAGCGAAAAACGTATGCATTGCTACAACAGACTGAACTGAGTATAAACCAACCAACAGTAGCATTAAAATCTAACATTCCACCTTCTCTAAGCTATTCAGAAAACAAACTCCCCATTTAAAATTCCTTGACATTCCATGTCATTGCTATGTATCAGTATGCTAAACTTACCACGCAGTCTGTAAGCTTTCCCCATTGCTCATAGTAACTCCTCAAGCTTTCTTCTGTGGTTTCAAAGCTTAAACCGCCAATAAACAGTTTGCGGAACTGCTCCTTTTCCCTCTGCCACAGAAAAAAGATTACATTAATATAATTTAAATCACCTCTTCTGCATTAGCAAATCAGACACTAAGCAAGATTTTCTTGAGATTTTCTAGGTCTCAAAGATGAGACCTAGCTCTTCTAAAGGTTCTATCCCTATTAAAGAAACTAAGCTATTTATGCAATAATGCAGGTCCACTTTTACAGATTTTTTCTAGTCCTTATTCCCATCTCTCCGTCTAGATATCAAGAGCAAGGGACCACACTTGAAGACTTTCAGAATATTCCTCTCAAAGACCCATATGAGATGCTTTTGTAAAGAAAATGAAAATGAAAACTTTGGGATTTGTTCTTTGGGATTTGCTTTTATTGCAGAAAATATTAATTAATTTATACTACCTGATTCCATCCCAGGTAACATTCATTTCTAAAAACCATTCTGGCTTAAACTGTTTTACATGAATACTACCATACTATTCATAAATACATTGTAAATAAAAAAAAAATAAAATTCAGTACATCTAAATACAACAGGTTAACAATTCATATTCTCTCCATAATTACTAAAACAAATGAAAGCAAATCATCTGTAGAATTAATCCGGCATCCCACACCGCTGGAATTAGCAACAAATCTATACACCCTCAACAGCAGTATTAAAGTAATTCCCTTTAAAGTAAAATGTGAATAATACATATTCGTATCCACTAACATAAACCATAGTTTCAGTAAGAATTTATTTCCTTGCACAGAAATTATCACTGCACTTGTTCAGCAGGAATCTCTTTTGCAATGACAAGCACATTATAAAAAAGCCTGAACAAACCAAACAAAAAACAGGACCATTAATAAGGAAATGCATTTACTGTTTTGTATTTAGTGGTAAACTAAAGTAGAAAGGACGACTTCAACTTTTACTCAAAATACTTGAGAAACTTTTTATACTAAGCAGCCCTTTCAATTGCTGGGTTCTACATACAAATATCACTAGTTCATACATGTGAAAATTTCATGCCAAACAATTAAAAAATGCACTAAAAAGTAGTACACTTCCACAAATTACTATTTTGGAATAGTATTACTGTTTTGAAAAGAACTCAAACCAAATCACTTCAGCTTTATACTGTCAACTAACTTTTAAAAATCAAGAAAATCTGCTTGGGTGCTTGGTTGTGTGTTTTCTTTAGTGTGGCGATTATTTTTTATGCAAATTAAACATTGCAGCTGTAGGTGTAATTGACAAGCACAGCATGATTAACTGTGCAATGGGCATTAACATAAATTTAAAGAGGAAACTAGAATAACAATGAGGCTAAGAAAACAACAAAATACTTCAGCGCAATTAAGATAATGTGCATGTAGACCAACACGTTTTCTGAGATCGTCCAAGGTAGGCCTGCATCAAAATGCATATAACAGAAGACAACTGCTGTAGGCAGAAACAAACCAGCTTTTTTTTTTTTTTCAAAATACGCCTCCATATTACCACCTTGACATACTGCAGTCTGACACAGAAGTCAATTTTCTCCCCTCTCTCCTCCACATACTCTATTTGAGACTGATCAGTCCGAATTTCTCTTGAAAATACTTGGACTCTGCTGTTGAATCTATTTTTTTTTTCTGCTAGGAACACAAAGAAAGCTAGTATTGTCTCCTCCTTGCACAGACAGGCAAAATGAGACAAGTTTAAAAGCAGCAGACACATGTTTTAAAGCTATTTCCTTTCACCTTACTCCATAAAAGTAACAAACGAAAGAACACTGCATATTATACAAGTATTTAAATAAATCATACATTCATCATATGTCATACTCTAATTTATTAATTTTGACTAGGATGGCAAAGAAAAAAAATTAAGCAACTGGATATATATTTTATTTTATACATTTTAAATACTGGAAAGAAAAAAATAATAAAACAAAAATCCTTCCTTTAGCTCTGCTGCTTTAGAATTAGGGACCACTTGCTTAAAGTTTCATACATCTACAAAAGACACTTTTTCTATATAATCAATTGCTATGCACTTAATAATGGACATTATTATAAAAATATTAGAATCCAAAAAAATTTAGTGGGTAGGCAGGATTTTTCCAATGTTACGTTTCCCCCTGAAAACAGCTAAAAACAGAACTCAAGGAAAGAATGGAATCTACCAGCTGTAACAATGATAAAAATATATTACACATAACAGACATTGAAGAGAATAGTGATGCATTTACAGATGCATTTAGGATCATGCCCTACCCAGAACAGCTAGTTACCACACGTCAGAACACAGCAATAACGAAATTCATTACAAGTTCTTTAATGAAAACTATTGTGCAAAAACAGTACACACATGCTGCTCCACTACCACGCAAACAATCTCTAGATGCGGAGGAGCTATTTGTCTTAAACGAGCCAGTTTCAAGAAACTGGCCAGCCTAACACTAACCTCCCACCAGGAGTCTCTCACGAGACCAGAGAGTTCTGCCCATCTAAAATATGTGCTGAAAGTGTAAAATGTACAACAGTAACTATCACCATGCCAGTACCTCTTAGAATCCTGAGGTATAAAATACTCTTTTGGTAAAGACACAGACCCCTCATACCTATGAAAGGCCAATATAAAGGCTGGAAGTAACACTTCTTTCAAGATTTCCACAATAAGCAGTACTATTGTGGCAAAAACCAAGGGCCAGAGGAAACTTTTACACTCTCTGTAGGATCTTCATGCGCGTGAATTTCAAGCTTTCCTTCACATGCTTGAAGAAACTTAGATGGACAAGTAAACGCATAACCCCTACTGAAAAACTGATCACCAGACCAAGGAAAGGTGTTTTACAGCAATAACCTGCGCACACAAAATCCACGCTGAATGCAGAATTAAGAATTCGGGTAACAAATATGTTTACCGGAGACAAGCGAGGGGGATCCCTTAATTCCAAGGCTCTGCAACCCCTCAGCGGCTGCTCGCCCGCCCCCTGTGACGGCCGGGACGCAGCGGCTGCGCCGGCTCCGCCATGTGGCGGCAACGGGAACACCGGAGTCCCGAGCCGGGCGGGGAAAATGGCGCCCGCGAGCAGCCGCCGCCTCCAGGGTGAGCGCTGCAAATTGCTTCTAGCGTGGACCTCCACACACGGTATTATGCCCTTTCCCCCGCTCCTTCTCGCCCCCGTGGATACCAGACGTCTACAGGTGGCCCCCACCCTGCCTGCTCTGCCGGAGCGATCCCCACTGCCCCTCGCAGCCACGAGTCTGGGCCAGGCCGCCATTTTACCCCTCCCCTTCGCCACCGCCATTACCCGTAGCGCCGCCTCGGCCGCTCCGCGTCTCGCGGGGCCAAGACGGCCCCCGGCCCTCGGAGCTCCAACTCCCCCTCCTCCGACGACACCTCAGCAGCAGCGCAGCTAATAGGCATGGCCACGGG